AGTCTCCGTAATTACTTCCTGGCGAAATCGGAATCCAGTGAGTTGCATAGAGATGTCAAAGCATGTGATGTAGGACTAACCCCTCTCTCTTTGGCCACCGAGCAATGGCGAGAACCGGCAGTACTTAGCACCACTGACCGAGAGGCCGTTTGGAGGGAGAAGGAGTTGCACGGTAGATTCTACAAGGCGCTACACGAGCGTCACGTGGATCCGAGAGCCTCCGTGCATTGGCTGCGCTTCGGGGACCTCTTTGGGGAAACCGAAGGTTTTGTCTGTGCAATACAGGACCAGGTCATTATGACCCGAAACTACCGGAAGTATATCCTGAAGGATGGGACAGAGGACGTTTGTAGAGCCTGTCACCAGCCCGGTGAGTCACTCAGGCATATTACTTCCGGTTGTCCTGTACTGGCTAATACCGAGTATTTGCACAGACATGACCAAGCAGCCAAAATACTCCATCTCGAGCTAGCCTTCAAATACGGCCTCATAGGCGAAAAGGTGCCGTACTATAAGTATGTGCCGGAGCCAGTTCTTGAAAACGACCGCGCTCGATTGTACTGGGACCGGTCCGTCATTACGGACAGGACTGTTCCTGCGAACAAGCCTGATATCGTACTGATGGACCGGGCGGAATCTCGGGTGTTCTTAGTGGATGTCACCGTCCCATTCGATGAAAACCTCGTGAAAGCCGAATCAGATAAAAAACTTAAATATCTGAACCTGGCGCACGAGGTTACCGATATGTGGCGAGTGTCATCCACTGAGATCATCCCAGTCGTAGTGTCAACGAATGGCCTAGTCCCAACTTCTCTTCACGACCATCTGAAGAGGTTGGGACTCCGTGACGGACCAATGATTGCGAGGCTCCAGCGGGCGATCTTGCTCGATAACGCAAGGATCGTCCGCCGTTTTCTCTCTTTGTCGCCCTGACCCCCGGCCGTCTGGCCCCCTCTGCCGGGGGGAATCCTCCCACCCCTCGAATCGTCGAGGGGTCGGGAAGAGTAAATTTTTAAATACAATAATAATAATCATTTAATCCTCACCATAATCATCCTTTGAATTACATATTAACTAAAATAAGTACCGATTTATGTCCTAAAGTCATACTAACATTTTTAATCAGCACTGGCCAAGTTTCGAATCTGTTTAAAGGCATTTATTTTATCTAATAATGCTTAATGCTATATTATGGTTAATAAAAAAAGTATACCAATGTCAAAACTCCTATTTAAGTATTGGGTAATATTAATATAAAGCTGTTATCGTATTTCGGTGATATGAAAAACATTATATATTATATAAGCATTGACGTAATATTATTTAGTGCACTTAGTTGTATTTAGTCATTTTCTAGAAACAAAGGTTTTCTAATGGCCTATCGTTGTATCGATTTAATGCTTATGCTATATACACATTGAATAAAGAACTAGTAAAACTTTAGCACCGATTTGTTCTTAAAGTATTCTTTAATCAAGCTCAAGCTCCTTTATCTTCTTAATCTATGCTTTTATAAAACATTAGGCTATATTTTGATCAATATTAAGTTATTTATAGAGATACAAGTAATAAATAGATCGTAATTATTTGTTATGTTAAATTAAAATGTAAAATTATTTTATGTATTGTATTGTAATGGTGGCATTTTATATGCAAAGCTGGCGCCATGGACAAAAAACATTGGGAAAAACAAAGAGTATTCTAATTTAATTGAATCTTTTAAAAATCAAAATAAAAATGAAATAATCGTTTGATGATTATTAGCATTATAAGATACTTCTGAAGTGTAAAAATACGGTTGTACCTAAAATGGGAGTGTGTTATACGGTGAATTACGAGCTCTTAGTTTTGTGTCTAACCATAATACGATTAACAGCTCTACTACACCATATTTGAATACCTAATGCTTTAATTTTACGAGTCGCCATTTGCTTTCTTTTTCCATTTCTTACAAAATATTTAAAGTCAACTGTGTCAGATGAAAAGGGGTAAATAATCATTTATTTTGTGCACAGATGCCTATAAAAGCAATTATGTTGTTAAAACAATGCTAAAAGCCTCAAATTCAACAAAAATTTTTGCTACTAGGTTAAATTTTTTATTATTTTTATTATATTAAAGGAAGTTTGCGAAGGCGCGTGTATTTTACACCATAAACTTGTATATTTTACTCCACAAACTGATGTTTGCAGCTTATTTCACACATAACGAGCTGTTTAAATCAATATTCAAAAATACTTAAAAGACCAGCTAAGAGAACATGTCGTGACACTTACACAAAACAATAATTTAAACCGATTAAATGTTTTTAAAATCTATTAAATATACTTTTTTACAAAGGAAATAAAACAGTAAGCATTTTTATAACATTAAATTAACGTATTATAATTTTGATTTCGCATATCAATTGTAATATAGTCACTATTAGAATGCTTTTACCCGACTTTATTAATGCTATTATACAAAAGTTGTAGTGCTATTTCACAGCTTTTATAAAGCTTAAAGTCGTACAAAGGGGGGGCCCAAATTTTACGTATAAGAATCGTTTAAAAGAAATACAGTTGATATACGATTTTATTATAATGCTTAACGCTTGGACTCTTGCTATTATAAGTTTGATATAATGGTGTTTTGTGCTACTTGGGTAATAACGAAAGTTAAACATACAAGGTATTTACGAGTTTAGCTAATTAGCCCTGCATGGTTGGTGGTGTTTAATAATAATTTCCTACTTATAATGATTTGATATTATCGGCTTTGAACCGATTTCAAAATCAAAAAGGAGGAGGTTATATGTTCGACGGCGATATATGTTTTTTTTTATCTAAGTTCAACTATATTTCCGCCAATTGTTGACCGATTTTCAAAATGCGCTCTTTATTCGACAGCCTAATGGACCTTGGTGATTTCATTTAAATTTTATCGGAATCGAATTAGTAGTTTTCCTTTTGTAACATAACAAAATACTGCTTTTCATCAGATATCACCTAAATATTTGCCTATCATCGGACGGAGGTTTTTGTAGGTTATTAAATGATTGGCACCCTACAATTGGCAATGATACAATAGCATTTTCTTGGATAATTCACTTTTAATTCAATTAAAAGTATCTTTTTAAAAAATTTAAATCGGTTCTTTTTCTATTTTTATTTTAGATACGTTGATTTTTCATTTGTCACTATTAAAATTTTCAATTCCTCAGGTATTACGTCCAGTGGAAAATTATCAAATGCCATGATTCCAAATTTTCTAGGAAAGAACTTTCTGCAGTTACTGAGGTAATTTCTTTTTTTTATAGCTTACCTTTTTAGCTGAGTCTCACATACCCCGTGTCGCTTGCCAGGTAACAGGGATAGTGCAAAAGCATTTTCTCGAAGTAAAAAGGTACAATGAAATAGATGACGGTTAAAGCAAAAATACTGCAATAATCCAACTTGTATTAATCAAGTATTATAACTTATCATGAAATAATATTTAATTTTTATTACATATCTTAATTTAATATATTTTAGTATCAATGATACTATTTTCATTTTCAGGATAAAATATTTTGACTTTAGCCTAAATTACGAGATTATAGCATAAAAGTGCCAATAATAAAAAAAATAAATAATTTCAAAAAGAGAACAATATTTAAAATATCCTTTTGAACATAGCAACGAGTCAAATAAAGCGCCAAAAATAGGGTTACCAGTATAAGAATAATAAAAATATCCAAACTCAATTATTATCTACTTCTTTAAGCAATGCCCTAAGCAATTTAAGTCAATTATATATTTCTGTACTCTAGAATCATAATGTGTAATTATTGCATTTTAATGATTATATTCGGAATGTTGATTTCTTAAAATATTATATATTCAGCCATGGCTGCACGTCATGTTACCATTATATGTCTAGTTTCTCAACATATCGAGGTTTTAATTCAAGGAAAATTGTAGATGATGTATAACTTGATGTGCTATGATATGCTTAAAAGGGGTACAGATATTTTAGTAGAAACCTTGTAGAAACGCAGCGTTGAGATTGTTAATAAAAACGAATTAAATTTAAAAGCTTTTTATGTACGTTTTTCTTTCAGGTAACATCATTTGAAGTCTATGAGCTCAACTATAGATGCAGCTACAAAGTTAATGTAAACATAGAAAATAAATCCAAATATCCAGACTCAGAATTAATAATTCATGTTCCTGGTTGTGAATATTTCAAGAAAAAATTGAATTCTAACACACTTAATTGCGAAACTTAAATTATTTTATTAGGGAATAGACATTAATACTCAGTACAGAAATTAGATCAATTGTTAAAATTAATTAAAATATATATAAGAAAATTTGTTTTTGTGCGTAGGTACACTTTTTGATTATTTTAAATATACGATGTCTTGTATTTATTTCTTTCAACATTTAAAACCTATTCTTTATCCCTTAAGAATTTTCAATGATATCTGCAATTGTTTTACAAAAAAAGTATCGGCATTCGATATTTAAGTATTTTGTTATTATAAAGGTTCAAGAAGATTAGACTTATGTAGAATGAATAATACTTAATTTTATATTATTAATTTGACAACAGCAAAATAATTATTTTATGAATATGTTTGAAAATGTATTAATTGTGTTATGATAGTAATTAATACTATGACATTGTTATTAAATTTGAAAACTTTTTTGTAATAAATATAAGCAGTTAAACCTTAAAGAAAATAATACAATAAAATACATGATTACTTTTTATATAGTTTACCTTGCAAAGTGATATATAAGACATAATTTAAACATGAATAAATTAATATCTACAAGAATTCTTCTCTGATTTGATCTCTGTTTTAGCATAATTTTTTTAGACGAAATAAATGCAAAAATAAAGTAAATTGTTTTATTAACAATAAACCTTGTGAAAGTGGATCAGCCGCGTGATTAAGTCAATAAAACTAACAAATAATATGTTATAAAACAAAACACTTTAATTATAAAAACTTCTAGTAATAACATTTCACATTCTTTTCTACCAAACTGATTACGTTTGTAATATAGTTGCAACACTGAATACCACTTGCACCTTACTTCATTGCGATCTTTTACAATCATAGGATAGTAATGTCAAAAGTAAATAAAATATTTTCTCGATTTTATTATCATTATTAGCAATTTCGCAATTTTTACAATAAACTTATTTTAATAATTTTAGTCTGCACTTAATTAAACTAAAAATATCCCACATTTATAAATCTCTGGTTATTCTTATAACCGAATAAGCTTTTGAATTTAACACAATTTATATTTTAAAATGCATAATTTAGTGTCTTTAGTGAGTTTTGGTGAATTATTTACACACGTAACTAAAGAATTTCTCCATCAATATCAAGTGGTGTTCATTTAATAGTTAGTGACTTAAAATTACGAATTTGGTCCCTGGGCGTAACCTTTTTATCCTCAGGGCGAAGGCTGTGTAAAATATGATATAATATTATTATTTTGTGAGAAAGTGAACTTATTTGTGTAAAAAATGGCTGAGGACGAAGTGCTTTTTGACGACGTCTACGAATTATGTGAAACTATTGGCAAGTGAGTATATAAATTAATTCTCACTTATCGTGTGATAGTCGATAAATATGCGCGCGTAATTTTACTGTCGTTAAAATTTTAAACTTATTGGCGTTGTCCAAAATCGATATTTGATAACATATTATTTATTTTATAAAGGATTTATTGGCTCAAATATCTAATGTTTGTAAAATTATTGATTGGCCAAAATTTAAGTTACAGAAAGTTAGACAATATTTAAGCTTCTTACCTATGTAACCTTATTAGAAAAGACTAATCAATAATTAATTCATATTGCATTTTCAGTCTTATTGGAAAATAGTTACATAAATAATGATAGTTTAAAAAAGTTTTATCATCTATGTTTGAACATTTTAGGTGACTTATAAAAAGTCAAATTTTATAATATTATTATTATATTTGGTTAATTTTGAATTCACATAGCTATACCTACTGAAAAATGTTCTTAATGAAAAATCTACAGGGACAAAGTGGATTTTTTAAGCATTTTTCATTAATAATGTTTGCTAGTTTAATAGAAATATACTTTATCATATATTTTTTTTTCATTCTGTTAAATTTATTTATTTTAACTTATAACTGAATTGACCTTTATTTTGTATTCCTTTATTTAAAAGTTAAAAAAAAATATTTGAAAATAGAATTGATCTAAGTCACAAGTTGTGTATATTTTATTATGGTTGATTGAATCATGAATTGTCAATACAAGCAAATAATTGTGTGTATTTCAGAGGACCTTTCAGCTTGGTTCGTCGCTGTGTACATCGGCAAACAGGTCAACAGTTTGCTGTAAAGATCGTGGATGTGGCTAGGTTCACTGCTAGTCCTGGACTAAGCACAGCTGGTAAGTGCACATATCTTTCTTAATACTTAGTCTCTGATTGAGAAAGTATAATATTACTTATCATCCTCTGCAAATATAGTATCCAACTATATGTTAAATAATTCAAAATTAAATTTTTCTTTTTAATATAATTGATCAATTAAAAGCAGAAAAAAAAATCCAACAGCTGCTTCTGGTTTCTTGATATTGTTTCTATTATGCTTTGAACAAACAACTCAAATGAGCCTAAACTTAAAAGAATATATGCATTTTGTTACTAATGGATAGCAAAAGCTATTTTAGCTTTAGTGTACTATAATGATGAAGTACTTATAATAATGATGAGCTCTATAATGAAAGTGAAAACATAATTTTATATAAAGATTATCAGTGCCATTTTTTTATTAAATGATCACTCCTAAACTATGAATTACAATGTGTAATTGTTTACTTGCATCATGTATGTTTTAGTTATTTCCTGTTCTCTTATGCTTTATTTCTTACAGATTTGAAGCGAGAAGCAACAATATGTCATATGCTGAAACATCCACACATTGTGGAACTTCTCGAGACATACAGCTCAGAGGGGATGCTGTATATGGTCTTTGAGTAGTAAGTGTTCAAGTTATATGTTTAATAATTACAATATATGTATGTAATCTATCTATTATCATTTTACTTGTGGTAAGTTAATATTATCTTGATTTGGTAATCAAGTATATAACGGTGTGCCCTAGCCCAAGAGCATTATGCCCTTTAAATCACATAATGTATAAAATAGAACATACTAATGATTTGCACTATCAATATATAGTATAAAACAGTTGTTTTAAACACAGTATTTTTAATAGATGGCTGATTCAAAAAGAAGGTTTTTATATATAATAGAGGACCCACGCCGGCGAAGCTGCGTGCTGAAAGCTAGTAAATATTATCACACTAATTTGCATTTCCTTGTATTTTTCAGTATGGATGGATCCGATTTGTGCTTTGAAGTGGTTCGCAGGGCCACGGCTGGTTTCGTGTACAGCGAAGCTGTTGCATGGTATGTATTTTTATGAAGTATGTAAAAAGGCACCCATAAACACAAAAAAGGAACGAAAAAGAACCCTTCACTCGCGAGTCCGGCTCGCACTTTTGAAATTAAATATTTGTATGGAATCTATGGTGTGCCAGTTCATGTTGCTCTTGGCGGATTTTAACTATCTGTTGAATTTGACTTGAAGTTTTGCTTGATTATCATTTTTCATATGGATGGATTCAAATTAAAATATTATCTACTATATGTGTTGTCTATGGCCCTACCATGTAATCGCTTCTATCGAAGAAGTAGGATGTGGACGAAACTAATTTTCTTTACACCTTGCAAATAAACGACAGATGACATTAGAATTCTGACGATTCAGCACGTACATGTGTGCGATGATTTATATGTTAGTATACAAATGTAAGGAATAAATTGAAAAATAAAACAAGGAATAGTGTACTTCTTAACCCTAAAATGAAAATAAAAGCAATATAGAAAATAGTATTATTTAGCCGGCGATTCCAGCCGTGAAGGAATAAAAGGAGGAATGCAAGAAAAATAAAGTTAAAGTTAAAATTAAAGTAGTTAAAGTTAAAATTCTTAAAATTAAAGTAGTTAAGGTGCTGACACAGGTGGTGACAGCTGATTGGTTCGCTCACTCGCTGATTGGATCAATGTAGAAAATGTCTCGTGTAGATGTAGTCTGGATGTTTGTGATTTTTTCGTTGTCTCATATATTCCATAATACGAGGCTACTGATCTTAGAATCTGAGTAATGTATGTAATGTCTAATATTTAGTTATTTATTTGCATTTTAAAAATTCTTTCACCTACGGGAAGCTACATCATATGCGAAGAACATAAGCTATATTTTATTTAAAAAAAAAACAGTCATTAATGGGATGAAAATGGAAGTGGAAGTTTGTATGAGGAATTAAAACGCTATCATAGTAACTATTGTTTACGATTCAATTTGTCATTGTTGATGATGTGGATAGATATCAAAGTCGAGACCTACGCCATCGGTTCGTAAATTTTTTTCTCCCTGTTTTATTTCATACAGAGCGTCAAGATTGAATAATAACTTTATTAAAATATGAAGTCATTTTCCATTACAATATTAGAAAATATAAAATTAAAACAGTACCTATTTACGTCAATCGAATCACATGTCTACTCAAACAAGCACACCAATAAATAATCTAATATACTTAAACATAAGCCTTATTTAACAGTATAATATCCTTTACTGAGTAGACAATACTGAATAAACAACAAAATCAGTGATTGTATACACCCGCAGCCACTACATGCGTCAGATATTGGAAGCGTTGCGCTATTGCCACGAGAACGATATAGTGCATCGCGACGTGCGCCCCCACTGCGTGCTATTGGCCGGCCGCGATAACTGCGCGCCCGTCAAACTCGGCGGGTTCGGTGTGGCCGCACAGTTGCCCACGCCCACCTCCCATCGGGCCCCGCCTGGTGAGTAACTAGTCTGTGTTGTTTTCAAAACAATCTTTATTGTTGGTCACAGGTTATATAAAGATATTGGATACGAGGACTGATTAGTTACACCGTGATCTGCCTATACTCCATTCATTATAGCATTAGACAGAAGTGAAATAAGGTTCTTTTTATGGTATACTTTGTGACAAAATATCAATAATTTTGTTACTTTTAAGACTGACGGCTAATTTGCTACATATTCACTTAAATATCAGCTGCTATACTTAATTGTTGTCATTTAAGCTAACTATTAAACAAATTTATGAGCATATGAGTAACTTTAATGATTTAATAAGTATTACAATAAAAAGTGTCCATCGTAAAGAACCTAAAGAAGCAGAGTTTGATAGTTTCGGCACGATTCTCATGTCACTATAACTCTACCAAATTTAAAACGTCGCCTAACCCCTTCAAGCTTTTCGGTAGTACAGATTTTTAATTTTGTCAGACTATTATTTATTCATAATTGTTAAAATCGTAATCTGGGATTGTCATCCATTGTGAATGTTACTGCCTTTCTTGTTGTTTAGCCGTTTTCCGTGATGTTATTGTTTTATTTTTGTTGTTAAGTTTTGGTAAATATGGACGATGCCGGTACAGGCCCGAGTGGCCTACAAAAAATACGCTCTAAGCCCCCATACCTACCCTCAAACTTTGACATTTCAGGGAGTTTTTCCAATGTCTACATCAATAGTCTAACTTATTATTACACTTACAATTAGAATTTATCAAAACACACAGATAGTTTCAGTTTTAGTTCCATGTTGGCTTGGGACTAAAAGATGAATTTATAAAATGCTGGCCTCATCTCGACCCCGAGGTATCATAAAAAATGGAAAATTGCCCAGCTCTTTCAGACTACCTAACGTTCAAAGTTTCAACAAAACTAATAGATTTTTTAAATTTATCTTGAAAATAAATGTTCTGCACTGCTGCTTCTATGACCCTCTTTTTTCTAATGTTATAGTGAATGGAGTATAAAAGGCATACAATATTAGTTAGGTTAGTAATAGGGAATATGCGTCTGATTCAAAAAATAAATATATTTTATTACAATCGTTATTGCTTTAGAATAAAGTCTATCTGAATATTTTTCAACATCAGTTCGTTTTCGTCTTGAAAATAATTATTAAAAAGTGCAAAATAAATGCGGTAACTTCAAAATATTTAAACGCCATACTACTTGTCAGAGCGGATGTGACGAAAATGTACACGTATAGGGATGTCGTTGTTACAAAAAGTCAACATCGATGCAATAACATCATTGTATTATGTCGCAAAATAAAGGCTTTTATTTTTATTTCACCAATTTGGCAAATTATGTGATTTATTAAAATAGGTCTATTATACTTTAAAAAATCGATTAGTTGTTAATCGATTTGGGTAATTGAATAATGATCAATCACTCAAAATCCATATTGATTTAAAATGTCATATCTCTAGTCGTGTACTTTGACGTCACGACGGGCGCGCCAAAAATTCCGGTGTTTAAATTGACTATAGCTATTACTTATTTTCATCAATGATCAATGTTACAAAATTTTAGTTTTTCGGTGCCGTGTATTTTTTTACAGTTATATATCGATGTAAACTATCATATAAAACCATTTTCCAAAAATGTGCATATTCCCTATTGTCAACTAATCTAATCGATAACATGTTATGTCAAAATTCAATTTATTAATTAAGTATTTATACAATTACAAAGTACTGTCAGCTAGATACTCGTTTACACTATAATAATCTTTAGCTACTAATAATTTACAAAGTTTTCTTTTAAAAACATTACAATCATCCAGGTTACGTATTGTTTTTGGAATTTTATTAAAAAATTTTGGAGCCATACAAAAGATACTTTTGTTTAACAGAGCTGTCTTAGAGGGTATCGTACACAATTTGTCTCGATGGCGCATTCTCGTCTTGTTTTCAAATAATTGTTGATTCTGTTTGATAAAAATACCAACTTCGAATATATAGATTGATATGGCAGGGTCATAATATTTAGTTTAATAAATTAATTATAAAATTAACACCATCTGTTGGCGGTATTGCTATACCAAGACAAGTCACTGTTAACAGGTCATATTTTATTTTGTGATTGTTTTAAAATTGACTGTCGAAATTTTATACTTTAAAAATGTGAAAAAATATTATTTTACATTTTTAAAACATCTACATTGAAGTCGGTAATCGGTATTTAGGTATTTAGGTATTTCTTCTGTGTCATAAGTTTATTTAGTACGAAATATTTAAAGTAGGTTACATTGTACAGAATTGGTGATGGACAATCGACCACTTATGGGCCCATTGGGTCAAGCGTATCTGAAATCAGACGAATATGGTAAGGAGTTGATACTTCGAACCACTTGTGACTATAATTGCATGGACATTGAGTGCAATTTCCACTGGGGTTTAAAAAATACTCTCACAAGAGAAATTTTGTTATTATCGACGTGTTATGAACTCTATTTTTTAAAATTCTAAAGTGTATTTTCGGATGCTGTGTGATAAAAATAAATCTAATAAACGGGTGTCATACACAATTAAGTAAGCATGATATCGTTCAATTGCAATATTATTATTGTGTATATTTTTACTATAACTAAAAGAACAAAATATTTGGAAATTATTTTTTGTAGTGACTAAACGCAAAAACCCTTAAAAAAAATAAAAAATTGATTAAAATAATATCTTTCACCATTAGAACACTGTCTTATTATCACTAAGTAGTATAGACTATTTTTTACAACAATTCCAACAAAAACAGCACTACGGAGCGTGGCTGGGCTTAGCTATTTCTATGTCGCTTAATATTAGTTCCAACGTAGGAATTCACAGATTATCTTAGTGTTGCTACACAATATGTACATTTTATAATATATACTAAGGGTACTAGCACACCGTAACTGCACGGTCTAAACCCAGCAATTAACTTTGACCATTAAAACCTATGTCTTAAAATAGCTTTCATAACGTCACTATGAAAAAAAAAAAAACAATTGACAGCTATCATTGGCATTATATATTGACGTTGTGACATATGTTATACGACATAGGATTTAATGCTCAAATTTAAATGGCTAATAAAACTCCGGGCTGGGGCGATGCCAAGTCGTTTATTCTTGTTTAGCGTTACACGAGTTGGTAAATAGTTAAGGTTTAGTTACTTTCTAAATCTCCAGTGGAAATTGAATTTGTCGTGAGCACATTGTGTCGTCTGTCATTTTTACCATAAAAATCCACATGTGTAGTGCAGCAGATAATAATACAGCAAGTTCGCTTAAAATAACACTCATTGACCAAACTTCAGCACAATAATTACACCTTAATAGCAACTTACAACCTTTTAACTTTTTTTTATAATTTAAATAAAATAAGTATTTTGTTATGTAAAATATATATAAATCTCAGAATAATAATCTATACTTAACAGTTTGTCAGAGTCAAATTTGAATCGGTTTTGAGCCTTAATCTGTGAAGAGATAAGTTCAGAATTAATTGCAGAAATTTGACCTATCGCTTATAGTTTTTATTAATGGGAAAGGGAAAAAAACATTAAATAATATGTTAGTATTAATAGTGTGTATAAAGTATTATGTGAATAAGTCATTGTATAACATTGTTTTAAATGGCGAAAGCCAAAAGGGAAGTGCCAATAATTAAGAAAAAAATATAGAGAAAAATGCGAGTTCTTTTCAAATTTGAGTCTTAGATTTTGAAGTTATTTTAGGCCTATATGGATTTTGGTAATGGTAAATCATATGAATGGTCAATTAACCAATGGATTTCGTCTGGGTGTTAAATGATAATGTCTCTTAAAATCAATCTCACTTATTAACTCTCTGAATGTTCACAATTAACCTAAACCATCTAAATTTTCACACTCATTTTGTTAATCAATCAATTAATTTGCACGTACCGTCGTTTATTAATTTCAATTCTTGGACAGATTAATATTGAAAACATAGTTTGTTTGTTTAGTGATAAACCTTTCGAATATGTATGTGAAATGTATTGTAAATTATAAACTAATGTATTCATTACATCTTAATACGGATGATGCCTGGATTAAAACAGGAAATCTATTTAGTCCCTCAGACAGATAATAGTAAAATATTAGACACGTATTTTTTTTATGTTTGCTTCAATTCAACAAGAAATGATGGGTATGTTCCGATATACACTGCGACCACTGAACAGTATGACGTCAATTTAGTATACTGGAAGCCCGTTCCTTTATAGCTAGTTATACTGGTGACTTTTTAAAATACTGTTAATCCTATTTTTTGGCGCCATTTTCAAATTTGTTAATGCAAGGAATATAAATACATATAAAGATTCCCTCTTTTCAAAAGAAAATTGGAAAATTGTATAAAAAAAATATTTATCAATTAAATCCATCTTATAAATAAACGTAAGTTTTTTTTTTGTTTATTTAGAAACTTATCATTTTCTGATTCTGTTTCGACTGATCACGTGATCAAAAGCACTGCGAGCACCGTATCTCGAAATCTCCAGTGCTCACAGTACAAATATGGCGGCAATTTATGACGTCATAAATTTCCCTAGAGTACTGTAGCAGTGTACTGGCAGTCCATAACGGAACGGATTTTTCAGCAGTAAGACCACTGCGCAGTGCTCGCAGTGTATATCGGAACATACCCGATAAAAGGCATTTAAGTCTAGGATTGGAGACTCGCTACGTCATCGAACTATGTAGATAATTTACAAGGTTTGTTCGTCATGCGACATTACAACTCAATGTAATATATTGATTAAGCAAAATATAAAAATACGTGTTTAATCATCTTCATAAGTGTGTGTATCTATAATTGGTTCTCTGTTTCTTATTATTGTTTTTTATTTAAAAAATTGTAACTGTTAATTCACCTTTGAAAATAAAATAAGCACCTCCCTGTGGATGGAATCGAATCAATGTTTAATATTCCTCAATCTCTACCTGACCGACCGACAAAAGAAACTAGTCATCATCCTTATTGCCAGTGGTAATACGGTGGTTCTAAATCATGTATCTCTAGAAACTTCCAAATATATTTACAGTAATTTGCATAAACATTCATTAAAGTTCAATTACGACTTTAAGCTTTAATCAATGTTCCAAATTTGATCATTCGTATAGGTACTGTCACTTTTAACTAGTGACAGTTTTAATGGATGTTTGTGCAACTGGGTGTTAAAGAGCTAAAGGAGGTGTCCCAAAGTAAGTCAAGGCGAATACTGATTTTGTTGATGATATATAATAAATATATATAATATACTGAATATTATATATATGTTATAATTATTGAATGAAATAGTTTGAAGTTTTACATTGAGAGACCAATGACGGTCATCATAGGTGAAAAGAAGAATATCGTTTTTAGATAGTGTGGTTTAAAAATAGTAAGCAGATAGGAGTAAATCGGGATCCCATCTCACTTTGACGTATGTACAGTAAAGGACTGCTATAAAGAAACTGTCGAATAGTACCGTTATGCTATGTTTTACGTACTTGCGTAGTTAGAGACAGATATTTTATTTTTCTTTCTAATCAAGTTACAGCTCGAGGTTTGGCTCTCCCTGTCACAAGTGTAATACCTCTTTATCTGTCGCCATAATGTAAAATTTACTATTCTATTGTTCTAATTTATTGGTCATCTTTAAAAATGGTTTAGATGTATTTGATTGTTGGAAACTGTTTATAGAAGTTTTGTCTATTTTTTGGTTTGGTGTACATAGATCTTGGCCAGCAAGACTTATCGCTTAACCACGTTTACATAAATTTCCTTGATATCGGATAGAATAAAAACTTACTCAACGTTTAATACATATACTTTCGATATAATACAGTATTGAACATTGAGTAGATTTTAATTAAATCCAATGCCAACTGAATAAAATCATTATCCCTCCATATATTTTGCACATCTCTTTTGTCCTAATAAAAAGAAATTAAATTATCCGGTATTGTATCAGGTCGCATAGGTACGCCTCATTATATGGCGCCAGAGGTTGTATCCAGCCAGTTGTATGGAAAACCGGTGGATGTGTGGGCAGCGGGGATATTGCTGCATGTACTTCTAGTAGGATACCTGCCCTTCACCGGCACTAGGGAGAGACTCTTTGAAGCAATATGCCGAGGCAGATTGAGGGTAAGTCTACTGCTTATACCTATAACAAATTAGCTAAACCGAATGCGCGTCGAAAGTGGAATTTAGATTACGAGACTAGTGTCAAGCTCGTTCACAAGTTTCACGAAAGTAATTTAAGCAAATGTATAACTAGTTTCATAATAGCATAAAGTCAACAGTATCTCCGAGACACTGGTTCCGTCAACAACTTCACTATACCCAGAAAGTATCATCCTGGTACTATAATCTGTTGATTACAAAAACCGAAACGTGGACGGCCATGACGGAGCTTCGTGTGACGTCACATTTTAATAAACTAAACGTCAACATATTTGTTACAAGTGCAACCAGTACTCATATTTGTACATTTGTATATTTGAACTATTACTTTTATATATTTGAACTATGGCTTTAAATGTCACGTAACTGATAGTCTTCGCGGAACAATTTAAATTAATGAATAACAATATTTCTCTTTTACTTAATAACATTTTTTGGAGAAAAATATATCTAATATTGATTTCATATATAAAAGTTTTATATCAATAATGTAACCATTTAGTTGCGAAATATAAATTCAACTTAAGAAATCGTATTAAAAAAGATTAATGTAGTGTTGCGATGAGCACTTTGTATAACGGCCCGCATTTCGTTTTTCAGAGTCCGGTTGAAGTTGGGTCTTTGAAGCGATTTTAAACGTTTGTGAACTATATTGACCTATTTATGCTGACATAAGACTCATTATCCCATTGAAATGACATTCTCTAACCATTTCCTTGTTATTACTATGGCATTTTCAAGATTGATTGATCAATGATTGTGCTTTCAGTTTGATGCTCCAATGTGGGACGACATCAGCGATGCCGCAAAGGATTTGGTACAGCGCATGCTGACTGTAGATCATACCCAAAGAATCACCATTCAAGATGTATTGAACCATAGATGGATCCGGGTATGTCATGATGCTAATTGTATCTAGTTTTCAGGTTTCCGTACGCAACCCTTATAGTATCACTTTGTTGTCCGTTCGTCCGTCTGTCAAGTCCCATTTTCTCAAGAATGTGTGGAGATATCAAGCTGAAATTTATATCACATACTCAGCTCTACTGTCTCACGGAGCTGTGAAAAAAATAAACTTCTAAACCAACATAATCAAAAGATTCAGGAATCAAAACTTTTAGGGTACTTCCTATGAACTCAGAATCTCGAAATTTGGTACGAAGCAATGTCTTATAGTACAGATAAAGGATGAATTGCAAAGACCATAAAGTTTTAGTTACATCACATAATAAAGATATTTTTATTCATTTTAAAGTTACTACCTTTTACTTGTATCTTCTTTACTAACTTCAAGTTTGTACGGAACCCACGGTGCGCGAGTCCGACTTGCACTTGGCTGATTTTTAGGGTTGAGTACCATTTACTTTTTAATAAGGTTAAAAACCAACGCCACCTGTCTTTATTAAAATGTTTTAAGAATAGCAGAAGTGTAGGCAAGCCAACAGGAAAGTTTCTTTTTTACATAACTGTCGCCATCTAGTGTAGAAGCAAGGTAACAAAAACAGCGCCACGAAGGTAACATATTTTTTCAAGGTATGCATATAGTATGTGTATAGTACTAGCTTTCGCCAGCGGCTTCGCCCGCGTGGACCCTAGGGAAATGTTAAGTGGGATAAAAAGTATCATATTATCTAAGTCAGCTAATACCCTATCTGTATACCAAATTTCATCAAAATCCGTTCAGTAGTTTCGGCGTGATTGACCGACAAACATCCAAACATCTAAACATCCAAAAAAAGAAACTTTCACATTTATAATATAAATATAGTATTATAATTTCTATGATATAGATATGTCACAAATATTATAAAGCAAGGCAGGCTCCACGCATTGCACCTCAGCGCCATCTGGTAACTAACTTATAGCTTTCATCTTGCCTATGGTTAATGTGGCAATGTTAGGGAGGTGTGATAGATGTCGCTGATTTGAAAATAATCAGTGAAGGTCTTCCTCCTACAAAACTGTTTTACGAATGAATTCTCTTGGCATAAAGCCATTGCTTTGCAATTAAAGCGTAAACATTGTTATCCGAAGGATTTTTTTCGTGTAATGCACTCATATCATCTCAATGCTCACAAAATAAAACTACTAAGAGCTCCATGGCGCAGTGATTAACGTACTTTTTGTGTGGCCGAGGTCATGCAATTTTTGCAAGAACTTAGATTAGGATGGGTGATCAAAAATGTATATTGTCCTGATTTTGGAAGTACATCACGATATTTGTATTGATTGCATCTGTAGCTGCTAATATCTATTAATCGTCTTTGGTCCGCGTAGGTTACTGCTCAGTCTCCCTATTTCAGTCGATGAGGGCCTGTGCCCCAGCAAACGGTTAAAATGGGTTTTAAAAGGCTGATGATGATAACGAAAATAGTACAATTGGGATGTTTCCTATAAGTGAAAATATAGGTTTTAGTTATATATTCGGAAATATACCATTGTAAATATATCATACATTTTTAATAAAACAAATTTCATTACACAAATTTGGAAAATATAACACATTAAAAACTTTAAAATAATCAAATTAGTTACATAAAATATAACAACATTCTTGACAACAATTATAAACATAAACATAAACTTGCAGCAGTTCCACAGCACTGTATCTTGGCAACTTTAAATCGCAGACATGCTGTTCGTCTGTATTTTTCTCAGACATTAAATGCCAATTAATTTATATAATATAAAAAAAATGATTTAACTAGGCTTTAGCTATGGCTTAAATTTTGAATCTGACTTGGCAGATATTCTTGATATTATTTCATACACACAGATATAAAGAGGTTAAATTACACTCAAAGTACATATGGAATGCATTAGTTTTAGAGATATAATTTTTGAAAATACGTTAAAAAAAGAATTCGATCTTTTTGAGGATCAATTATTTTGTTTCCTAGTTTTAATATACTTGTAGGCTACTTTCTAATTTACTACTAACTATTTATATATACACATTTCTTATTTTATATTTATTTACAATATACATTCACTATATCTAAAACATAATTATCTACATTATCTATAACTATTTAATATCGATATGCGTACTCACTAGCGAGTAATAAGCACGCATGCGCGACCAGCGAGACGCCGCGTCGCGCGCATGCGTGCGCAGAGAGACGCAAAAAAAGAACTGTCATTGTAACTACAACGCGGAGTGCATGTAATATTTATTCTGCCTTTTGCTTTTACTATTATAGTGTTATTGCTTGTCTGTTTACTATTGCATGTGTATTAACTGTTTGTGCTTGAACTTTTCCTTCCTTACTTCTGTATTTTATGTATAAACTGTTTATGTGGACGTTGTTAATAAACATTATATTTTATCACGTAAGTTGAACAATCATTTTCAACCCTACATATTTATACAAGATTTAGTGGTACGGTTAACATCATCTCTCTACCACCACCACTAAACTGGTGACTCCTCTGAATTACGTAGAAGGAATTGTGAAATCGCTATAACAAATATAACAATGCAGCCAAGCACTAGTGATGGGAACGAGTCGACAAAAAGTATCGATGTTTTCAAAGTTGGTATAAGAGTGCCACCCTTTTGGCCTGAAGAGCCTGAAATTTGGTTTGCACAAGTGGAGGGGCAGTTCGCCATATCTGGAATTACCAATGACTCCACCAAGTTTCACTACGTAATTGGTCAACTAGAAAACCAATTTTCTAGAGAAGTGAAGGACCTTATTATCTGCCCACCGACTTCGGACAAGTATGGCAAGTTGAAAACCGAGCTCATCAAGCGATTAACGGCATCCAAAGAGAAGAAGCTCAAACAACTTTTGATGCATGAGGAGCTAGGAGACAGAAAGCCCTCGCAGTTTCTCCGTCATCTGAAAAGTCTCGCAGGTGTGAATGTACCCGATGATTTTTTGAAGACAATCTGGATTAGTCGTCTTTCGCATGGGATCCAGACAGTGCTAGCAGGTCAGTCACCCTCTTCTTCCACCGATGATCTGGCAGACTTAGCGGATCGTATACACGAGCTGGCTACACCAACTCCATCAGTGGCATCAACGAGTCAAGCCAACTGCAATTCATCCATCGACGCTCTAAGTAAAGAGGTCGCTGAACTTCGGAAGCAGTTCCAGAAGCTTAAGACGGAGAGGAATAGCAGACCTCATTCACGTTCTACGGGAATATCCCGCGGCCGATCAACATCCAGGTCAAAACGCTCGCAATCTAACTACAGGAAATTTCCATGCTGTTGGTATCATCACAAATTTGGCGAGAAGGCCAACAGATGCATCACCCCTTGTGACTTCAAGGCGGGAAACGCTCCGGGCGGTCGATAATGGCGACTGCTGACTGCCCTACTTCAACTACTGGTCGCCTGTTTGTTACGGACCGTGCTTCGAAGGTGCAGTTCCTGGTCGACACTGGAAGCGACCTCTGCGTCTTTCCCCGGTCCCTTCTTCGTGATCGTCGAACCCGGACAGACTATAATTTGTGTGCAGCAAACGGATCCAGTATATCTACCTATGGTTATGTACATCTTAATTTAGATTTTGGCTTACGGCGTTTGTTCAATTGGCGTTTTGTTGTAGCCGATGTAACTAAACCAATTATAGGCGTTGATTTTTTAAATCATTATTACCTAATTGTTGATTGCCGTAACAAACGATTGTTAGATAGTACTACTTCTTTGTCAACTGTAGCCAAACTTGTTAATTGTAATAACATAGCGTCTGTAAAAGTTTTAACTGGTAATACTAGGTATCATAAAATCCTTGATGAATTTCCTGAGATCACCCGACCAACCGGTACGCACCGCACAGTCACACACAACACTGTCCATCATATACACACAACTCCAGGCCCTCCAGTTTCTTGCACACCACGTAGACTAGCTCCAGACAAATTAAAGATTGCTCAACAGGAATTCCAGTCTATGCTCGCCAATGGAACAGCCAGACCTTCACAAAGTTCCTGGGCATCGCCACTTCATTTGGCGCCAAAGAAGGACAACGGCTGGCGTCCCTGCGGCGATTACCGTATGCTTAACTCTCGTACTATACCAGACAGATATCCGATTAAGCACATTCATGACTTCGCGCATAATCTTGTTGGCTGTACAGTCTTCAGCACCCTCGATTTATTGAAGGCATATAATCAGATACCTGTCAACCCTGCTGACATTCCGAAGACCGCGATCACAACACCATTTGGGTTATTCGAATTTCCTTTTATGACCTTCGGACTTCGGAATGCCGGCCAAACCTTTCAGAGATTTATGGATGAGATAACCAGAGGCTTAGATTTCGTGTACTGTTACCTCGATGACATTTTGGTCTTTTCAAGAGACGAATTACAGCACGAGAAACATCTTCGCCAAATTTTCACTAAGCTTAAAGATTACGGCATGTTATTAAATACGGCTAAGTGTGTCTTCGGTGTTCAAAAAGTAACTTTTTTAGGATATTCTATTTCCAAAAACGGCTCCAGACCACTGGACAGTAAAGTGCAGGTGATTAAGGATTTCCCCACTCCGACGAACGTACGTCAATTGAAGGCATTCTTGGGCATGCTTAACTTTTATAGGAGATTTCTTCCTAGAGCTGCCGAAATCCAAGCACCATTGCATGCATTATTGATAGGTTCTGTCAAAGGATCGCAACCAATCACCTTGGCAGATGATGCTCTTACAGCCTTTAACGCATGCAAGGATAGTCTCGCAAATGCTGCTTTATTAGCGCATCCTGATTGTGCCGCCAAACTTGCCTTGGTGACAGATGCCTCCGACAAGGCAATCGGCGCAGTCCTCCAACAGCATAAAGACGGCGCGTGGCAACCTTTAGCCTTCTTCTCACGCAAATTGAGTCCATCTCAGGTTAAGTACTCACCTTATGATCGCGAATTACTTGCAATCTATGAAGGCATTAAATATTTCAGACACATGCTTGAGGCCCGGCACTTCATTGTCTACACTGACCACAAGCCAATCAGTTTCGCATTCCATGAAAGGAAGAAAAATTGTTCGCCAAGGCAGTTCAGACACCTTGATTTTATTTCCCAATTTACGACAGATATCCGCCATATATCAGGCAAAGACAATATAGTTGCCGATACTTTGTCGCGAGTCGAAGAGCTAGGAATGCCAGTGAACCTTGAAATTTTAGCTCAAGGACAAACATCTGACCCGGAACTTCAGCAACTACTAACTGAAGGTACATCTCTCCAATTAGAGAAAATGTATATTCCTGGTAGTAATTTACCACTATATTGTGACAGTAGCACGCCAACAAGTCGGCCATTTGTACCTCATGCCTTTCGCAGACAGGTGTTCGAGAGCCTGCATTCTCTAAGTCACCCTGGTGCCATCGCTTCCGCAAAATTAGTTGCAGAACGTTTTGTCTGGCCCGGGATAAGGAAAAATTGCAGAGAGTGGGCACGTGCCTGCTTGTCGTGCCAAAAAGCCAAGATCTCTCGTCATGTAAGTGCACCTTTAGGTACTTTCGCACTACCTCGCGTTCGATTCAAGCAGATCCACATAGATCTGATAGGTCCCTTACCTATCTCGCAAGGTTATCGGTATTGCTTGACAGCAGTAGATCGGTTTACCAGATGGCCGGAAGCAGTGCCGATAGAAGACATCACAGCAGAGACGGTGGCTAAAGCTTTACTATCTACGTGGATTGCTCGTTTCGGTTGTCCTACAGCTATTACTACTGACCGCGGCCGTCAATTTGAGTCGGCTCTATTCGCAAGTCTGTCTAAAGCAGCCGGTTTCGAACACAAGCGGATTACTGCATACCATCCTGCATGCAACGGTTTGGTGGAACGTTTCCACCGTCAACTCAAAGCCGCAATAGTCTGCCACGCCAATGACAGGTGGACGGAATCCTTGCCATGGGTATTGTTAGGCATCAGAACTTCTTTCAAAGAAGACCTCCAAAGTTCATCCGCAGAGTTAGTTTACGGAGAACCTTTAAGGTTACCTGGCGAGTTTTTTGAAACTGTACCCGGGGGTACTACGGACTTGTCAGAATTCTCTGCCCGCCTGAGAACCATTGCTGAAAAACTACGACCTGTACCAACTTCAACACATGGTAATCATAAAGTATTCGTGCATAAAGAACTGGCAGCCGCTGATCACGTGTTCCTTCGTGAAGACGCATCTCGCGGTTCCTTGCAACCAGCATACTCAGGACCATATAAAGTTATAAACAGAAGTGACAAAGTTTTCAAAATTCTTCAAAAAGGTAAAGAAGTTACAGTATCGATAGACCGTGTTAAGCCAGCTTTCATATTGTTTGATCAAATTGATGCTGATTCCTCACCAGATATTACAAAAGAGTACATTACTCGTTCTGGACGCCGAGTGAATTTCACAAATTTTTATCGCCCATGACGGTCTCTGGAGGGGGGTGGTGTAGGCTACTTTCTAATTTACTACTAACTATTTATATATACACATTTCTTATTTTATATTTATTTACAATATACATTCACTATATCTAAAACATAATTATCTACATTATCTATAACTATTTAATATCGATATGCGTACTCACTAGCGAGTAATAAGCACGCATGCGCGACCAGCGAGACGCCGCGTCGCGCGCATGCGTGCGCAGAGAGACGCAAAAAAAGAACTGTCATTGTAACTACAACGCGGAGTGCATGTAATATTTATTCTGCCTTTTGCTTTTACTATTATAGTGTTATTGCTTGTCTGTTTACTATTGCATGTGTATTAACTGTTTGTGCTTGAACTTTTCCTTCCTTACTTCTGTATTTTATGTATAAACTGTTTATGTGGACGTTGTTAATAAACATTATATTTTATCACGTAAGTTGAACAATCATTTTCAACCCTACATATTTATACAAGATTTAGTGGTACGGTTAACATCATCTCTCTACCACCACCACTAAATACTTATTATAATATTTAATCAGGATCGTGACAAGCAGAATCGTATCCATCTAGCGGGCACCGTGGAGGAATTGAAGAAGTTCAATAGTCGCCGTCGTCTTCGCGCCGCTACTCTTGCTGCTGCAGCTGCTGATGATGAAGAGGACGATGAACAGCCGACTCGTCGCCAAGCGCTACTAGAAGAAGCTAACGCTGCGGGTATATTCATTGACATATTAATATAGTTGCTATATTTTTTTTTATTAGGTATGCCAGAAGGTGTTGTGGGATCTCCAAGGTTTCGGGTTAGATTTCCGGCCATAAGTCTGGGTGTTGAGGTACCTTCTTTGCTTTCGTATTTCCATTCAAATTCAGTCTAGATTGTTATAAGCACCTGTTAATGTCGAAAGCTATGCCATTGGATCGCTCAAAAGCTCCATCTTAGACATTTATTATTAATAAAATCCATTAAGATTGCTTACCATCAGGTGATCTGTGGTCAAGTGCTTGCCTATCTAGAATTAAAAAAAAAACTGGCTAGAAACTCAGCAAGTACTGCTTTTCTTCTCCTTGTTTTATTTCACACAGAGATGTCGAATTCAAACTAAAAAGTGTCTACATTTTAGTTTTAAGTCACTATCCATAACATAAAACACTGAAAAATAGATAATTTTTTCGTTAATCGATCAATATATCATGTAATTTTTGAAGTTTAAGTGACGATTTATTTATTATCTGTTATACAGTACATTGCCTTCGCATTGAAGTCCCAAAAGGTCGACTTGAGTCCCATTCATCCTTATTTTTTACTAAGGGACTAAAAATGGTTTTAAAAAGCGCATCTTGTATCTGAATCGTGTTAGAAACAACAACTTATATAGCATCTATTTAGAAGGAAATCATTGAAGTTAAAAAAATAAAAATAATTGCTAAGTAATAATTGCTTGCTTTTTTGTGAGGTAAACTATGGTCAAAGCACTGTCCTAGCTGTTACATTAGATGAAGTCTCCATATCACTTGTCTTATTCCCGAGCTAGAAGTGACGGTCGATCTTTCAATCACTTCGTATGTGTGTGTATACTTATATCTGCCTTTTTTACTGACACGTGAATCTAATTCCACCTATCCAAAATGTTTGCATGACAAATCTTAGTCCCAGTCTACGGAGGTAATGTCGTTGAAGAACATTTTTACGCTGAACAATATTGAATACGCGTGTAAAGTTTCCTCCGTAGCCGGTTCGCACGCCGGTTTCAATGTGTTGCCATCTCTCGAGGTACCGGGTTCAATTATAGAAAATTGTTTTCTCTATTTTGTCTCAGGCCTGGGTGTTGCGGTACCTTCATTGTCTCGAATTACTCCATAATATGGGGACTTTAGCTTCTCATCTTAGAATCTGAACAATGTATGTGGTGTTGTCTTATATTTATTTATTATTATTTTGTCGGCAGCTGTAAATCTGGTGGTGGAGTCTTTAGACGACGTGGCGGTTCTCCAAGACGGTCCTCTGTTTATGGATCCAGATCTATTCCATAGTGTGCTTGATGATTTACAATTAAGAGCTCTATTAGAGGTAAGTAAAGTATTTATTCAATGCATATAAGAAATGTGGTCACGGTAACTACACACACTTTACTTTCTCTGTCTTTTAGCAGGATTTTATCTGTTTCAAGATCTTTATTTCGTCACTTGCATGGAAATTAAAAAAAAAACAAAATAAAATTTTGACTTGGGAGTGTTTAGTGCTAAATTTTTACTTAATCTGTGGTGGTTAGTGTTGCCAGGTCCAATTTATTATTAACCGGGACAGTGCGTGTAATTAATCGGGATTTGGGGTTGTAAAAAGACAAAAAAACAAGTACTTTTTTCATAATAAAAGGCTTAAAATATAAATCTTAACACAAAATAATCATAAATAACAAGATTAACAATAAAATAATATTAATTTACGTACATTTGACCTTGAAAAAAAGAACAGAAGTACCTATACAACAACTTCTGTACTAATATAATCACACTGACCCGGAAAAAAATGAAAATACATTTTAGTAATTTTAAGGATTGACAAAGATGTTATTGCGTTAAAATATTGTAAACTAATTCTATATAATAATAATCAGACTTATTTGTCTATAGAATTGGTTGATGATAGTTAGATTGACTAGTTCACAAATTAAAAAATATTTATTTATTTGTGAACTAGTCAATCAAGTCTGTCGCTCGCTTTTATTAAAAAAACGTGTCTGATATAAAAACGAAAATATTTATATACCTGATACGCCATTTTGTACTGGCGACCATCTGTCTTTCTTAATCTGAGTTTTTTTTACAATGTGTTGTATTCTACAAGTTAAGCCCTTTCATTAAATGCCCATATTGGGCGGGTTATCTTCAAAATTGTACGCCGCCATTTTGTCACGGGGGCTTAATTGAAATTGTACGCCCCCATTTTGTCACGGGGGCCATATTGGATTGACATTAAAATTAAATTAAATATATGATTACATAGTTACGCGAAATTAAGATAACTGGCAAATTTCAACTCAATCGGACACCGAGAAGTGGGTGATTGAGATTTGATTTGATGAAGAAGAATGAAGATTAATCATTGTTTGAATTCGTTCGATGAAACATTTATAATCTAAATGTTCCTCGACTGCAATGAGAAGTTTAGTCGAAACATATTATAGCTTATTATTTTTTTAGCACGATTTTGGCAGTCCTGTTTTGTAAAATAATGATTTATAAAAAAAAAAATGCTAAAACAATCTTTTTATTATTAATTTTTTTTTTATTGTCATATATTCGCCATATTAAATATACAAAAAATAATCTAACCGTAATTATATTTAGACAAAACCTTAATAATTAACTGATATCTTAATCTTCCTCATGACATACTAATAGGTACTAGTTGTGTAGCCTTATTGCTTTCAGACATAGATAAATATAGTTAGGCGCTTTTAAAAATTGATTTGATAATATGAAAATATATATATTTTTTAATCGGGACATTTAGCGTCCCGATTAGGTACAAATTTCAACAATATATTAAAATGAAAGTATAAAGTTATAGGGTAACCCGGTGTCGTAGTGGATAAGCGCCGCGGACCGCGATCGTTGTTGTTGAGCAACTTTCGCTAGGGTCGGTCGGGATGGGTGGCCAAAATTATTATCACTAGCTACTCCGTGCTTCGGAAGGCATGTTAATTTGCCGGTCGACGACATTTGCAGAACGTTCATACTCTCCACCTTGCATGGGGCCGTGGCCTATTCTCCTTAAAAGTCCATAAGGAAGGCCTGGGCCCCTTTTTTATGTAGGGGATTTCTCTATGCACTGTTCCTGCCGTTTGATAGATGGAAGGGGGTGTGTAGAAAGCTAGTCGAAACGCGGATGGCATACCCACTATAGTCCGTTTCACATAGCATGGATACGGTGACGTTTTTTAACAAAGCCATTTCACGCAATTTCTATTCGTAAATAATTAAAAACCATCGTTATAGAAAATAGTTGGAGTGTGTAGATATTTACATAATAAAACATAAATATATGAGTATTTTTTATTGCCATAGTTACTGAAATCTTACTCTCTAAAGTTTAAAACGTTAATACTTGTAACTTAAATTGGAACGTTTTTTAATATGGATTAAATTAATAAAATCGTTTTAATTGTAATATGTATTCGGTGATCATTTGACAATTTTTAATTATTGCTGTTGTCACAGTTAAACTTAACTATAATAAGAATTTGTATTTTTCTGACAGGGGTTTTTCTGATAAGGTAAACCAGGATTTAAGAATAATATTTATTAAGAATAAGAATAATATTTACATTTACCTCAAAATCGATTATCTCTATTAGTTAAAAAACTATAATATCGTGTTTTTGTATACAAATTTTTTATTACTAGAAACTTCAAATCCCAAATGTCACCGTTCCAATGCTATGTGAAAAGAATATAGACGCCCTCCGTGCACCCTCTCCATTTTCGGGGAAGGGCCTGGTATCCAAAAGTGAGTGTTCCACACCCAGTTCCCGTGCCCTGTGACCCTGCAGTGATGACGTAATGGCTGATGATAACTTACGCAGTTAGTACGCCGACTCAATGGCATGCGAATGCGAAACATTTGCAATGTTTCGTATATGTTTTGTCTCGCTCTATTGTTAGCTTGATTAAATAGTTGCGTCCTTGGCAGTACGGTTTTGCAGTCAACACAGACGCACATGTTTTGCATTGAGGGTTGCCACCCGTCTCCATATCTGCAAAGCGACTACCTAACTCTCTAGCCTTGATTTTAGCTATACCAATTAAGTGTTTTATTGTTTTTATTAATGAATCTATTTTTTAGATATTTAATCGAACATTCTGGTTTATTTCTATTTTCGAAATAGTTTCGTTTATCTAAATGTGATATTTTGTAAATTATTTATAAATAAATAAATAAAATTAATCACACTTTAATATTTCAGGTAACTAAAACAAGCTAAATCATTTATTATATACGTAAATAATAAAAGGGAACACATTAACATTTTCATCGATATCATTAGAACACTTTTGTAGCAGTATCTAGACTTATAGCGAGATCGTTAGGCGTTATCCGTGATTATTATCCGATTGTCACGAATTTCTCCAAAGATGACAACCCTGTTCGCGTTCCCAAACATCTGTCTGTGTACTGACGTTATTATGATGCACCAGGTGTACGATCGTATAGCGTGCACGGTGGTGGTGAGCAGCGGCCGCGCGCCCGCCGCTGAGGGCAGGCAGCGGTGCCGGCACGCGCTCGAGGCGGCCACCAGGCTGCGGCACGCGGGCGCCGGGCCCGCCGCCGCCACGCCCGCCACCGCCGCCGCCATACACGAGCTGCGCCGGATGCTAGCCCTGCCACATATCAAGGTACCCACCGTCTAGTGTATACTGTACCATACGCTATAGGCGGCCACCAGGCTACGGCATGCGGGCGCCGGGCCCGCCGCCGCCACGCCCGCCACCGCCGCCGCCATACATGAGCTGCGCCGAATGCTAGCCCTGCCACATATCAAGGTACCCACCGTATACTGTATACTGTCCCACGCGCGCCGGAGGCGACTTACGTTAGTCGCCTATAGCGTATAGTACACCATACGCTATAGGCGGCCACCAGGCTGCGGCACGCGGCCGCCATACACGAGTTGCCCCGGATGATAGCCCTGCCACATACCAAGGTACTATGGCGACTTATGGCTACTTAGTCTAATGGTGGAGGTGGGTGGCGCAATGAAAAAACTGGTAGAACTCCTTAGTCTTGATTTATTTCTGATAAGAATTACATTTAAGCACTTACAATAATTATACTACGATGCTCACCCTAAGCTGGTCTCGATCAGAAAGAAAGACTATTCACCAGCAAAACACGAACACGCGAATTCGAATAAGAAAAAGTAATAATTTAAATTATTAACGGCCAGCACTTGGCCATAAACCGTCCGAAGAGTAAACCCTACCTATAGTAATGTGCTCGGACGTTACAGTACCCACCGTCTACTGTATACTGTACCATACGCTATAGGCGGCCGCCATACACGAGTTGCGCCGGATGCTAGCCCTGCCACATATCAAGGTACCCACCGTCTACTGTATACTGTACCATACGCTATAGGCGGCCACCAGGCTACGGCACGCGGGCGCCATACACGAGTTACGCCGGGTGATAGCCCTGCCACATATCAAGGTAATAGAGCAAGAGCCCGTGAACCCCAGACGTTATTTTATAAAAGCTGTAAAGTTTGTCAGCGGATGCTCCCAACACAGGTAAGAACGATGGAACATTATGGAGTTTAGGTTGTAGTGGCTTGATAGGTAAATACGTCAAATAATAAAGTGCAACTTTTCGGTATTACCTTCAGAATATTATTAAAAATCACGATATTCATTGCCAGACACTTATTATAGTGGTAACCCCTTGCCAGACACCCTTAATGTTCATGAAATTTTAATTTTACTTACGTTATAGTATAAAAGCTGATTTTTATATATAATACTTAGGTAATAAGTAAATGATGTTTCCTCATTAGCCAGACACTTTTGATAGTTCCAACCCTTTGCCAGACAAGCATGTAGGGTAGCTGTAGGAGAGCGCGAGTCAGTATGCAGTATGCATATAAAGACACGAACAACAAAATAAAACATGAATAAAACATTAGACTATAACTACCGTCTACTGTATACTGTACTACACGCGTGGAGGCGGCCACCAGACTGCGGATGCTAGCCCTGCCACATATCAAGGTAGCTGTAATATTTAAAAAAAATTAATTAAAATAGGATTGGATTGTAATTGTAATTTTAATAGTTACAAAGAAATTTATCAAGAGGTAGGTCAACAATAAATTAAAGAAATATAAAACAAATTTTTCAGCCGCCAGACCTACCTGGAAAACTAAGCCGGAGAGATTGGAATTTTAATCGTAAGGGGGGCTTGTAAATAACGTACTACAAGTTTACTTTTGGATTGCCATTTATTTTAATAACTTTTAAGTAAGTCTAAAGTTAAGTTTACTAAAAATACGATACTCTAAATTTGACCGTGGGATGAGGCCCATTCAGCAGAGTTGCAGTAAAAATCCATGTGACGTAAATTTTACGTTATATACCCACCGTCTACTGTATACTGTACCATACGCGTGGAGGCGGCCACCAGGCTAACTTAACGATAATTCGCTTATTAATTATTTGACCATATCAAGGTATTGTATACTGTATACACCCGCTAGAGTACCCATAATTTAAAGCTTAATCATATTAAACCACTATCAAATTAATTTTTTCCTTAAAGTTTTATTAAATAAAGGAAAAACATTTTCTAATCATTAATTTAAATTTCCCCGCTTAAACAATCTGTCACGTGATATTTCGAGCAGTGACGTCTCATTTTTTTTTATATGTTAACTCGAGACAACAACATCCATACCAACATAAAAAACAAAAGACATTATTACATTTATAATAAATCCGGCCAACAAGTTGCCCACAATAAAAATAACAGTAAGCCTAAGACATAACAAGGCTTATACAACCCAACCAATTATGTCATCATAAGCATTAAATTATAAATCCTTATAGATGTTATAGACAGAATTCTAATATTATAATATTATTTCTCACCCAACCAAGAAGCAGAAATTACTTTGGACTTCAATAACAATGAGTACTGGTCGCATTCACAACCATGGACTTAGTACTTATAACGGGACTTATAACTTCGAAAAATTGTAATAACAAAAATGAATCTTATCACTATCACTATCATAAGTGTACTTTTAATCGCTCTTTGTGCAGAGGCTAGTCCGAGCCGAGAGAAATAGTCACAACAGTGACTATATCTCAGTTATACTATAGATTATCTGGACGCGCGATTCGTGTGGTATCGATCATCGAGATCGAATTGAATGAAGGGCCTAGAAGTATCTAAAAAAATAATAATAAATATATATTCATTGTAACAAAATGTTTAACAAGGTTATAACGATAATAACCGCGATAGTTAAAAAACTGAATCATATGAAAAGTCTCACTTAACGAACATGTTATTGTCACCCTATTTGAAAGAGACAAATAGCCTCTATACTTGGTATTTCGCTCTACTTACTTTTCAGTTGGGAGAACTCTGTCCTGTTATAAGTACTAAGTCCATGCTCGCAACAAAGACAGTGACGTTTAATTATTGAAATCTGACGACACGATGCACACGATGCTCCGTCATGGTTGCCCGCGTTTCGGTTCTTGTAATACACAGATTAAAAATTGTAAGTTAATTTTGCAAAAATAAAATCTTCTAACAATTTAATTTAAAATAAAAATTGTTACATAGTTATTTTTTACGAATAAGTTACTATTTCTGTTTAATAATTTCGGCATTGTTATAACTATAACGTAGTCGATTATGTCAGAGGCGATTTTTGACTAACTCCATAGTATGTCTAGCACGGCGTTTCTTAATCTCGGGTCCTGACTATTTAGATGAGTCGTGGGAATTTTCAAAGGAGGGATCAAACAACGGGCGCTTAAGTTATTCTTATTATTTTACTTAATGACACACTTAAATGAATTCGTCTCAAAGAAAGGTCACAAACTTCCTATATATTTTAGGTTGCCAGCCAAAATAGTTACCAATCATTGGTCTAGCTATTCACTAATGTTGCATTAAAATCTCTAAGTGTTTATAAAAAAATTGAAAGCTGAATTTAGTAGTAGTAGTAGTGGTAGTAGTAGTTTCGTCATTTTGGGTGAGATTTAAAGCTCTTAGACGTTTATTATACAGGATGTTTGGTAATACATGTATAATCCCGAAACATGGCCATACAACCTAGCACAAAGAACACAATTGATATGTCAAAAAACAATTTCACGTAAATTGAGATTTTCATACAAATATTTGAACAATTTGTTTTTAATTAATATGCTACAACCCTGAAAGCTTATACGTGCCGTCCCGGCGTACTCGCTCTCTTTCTCTCTCTCATTACCTCTCACTTTCTCTCGTTTCCTAGAACAACAGCTGTTTTTAGGGTTGACAGCGTACAGTTTTACTTCGAAGAAAAAAGCTAAATATCTAGGTCATGTGCTGGGTTTCAGACTTAGTGATCATTATTCTGGGTTCTATTCATCATACCGTATGTGCCATATTCGGGATTATACAGGTATTACCAAACACGCTGTATTTGATTAATTTTACTATACAGAAAAATATTCTTAATTAAAAAAATCCACTTTGCCACTTAAAAAAATCCACCATCCGAGATTGCTAGGGACAAAGTGTTTTTAAGATTACTTCATCAATAAAATATACAAACTAGAAATTCATAAAACATTTTCAAGTTTATTTATAATAGAAAAAAAAAGTTATACAGGTAAAGGGCTTAAGTAATTAATGAAATGAAATTTATTTGTGCTATTTTAAGTTCTTGTACAGCCCTCGGTTCCTAATTATAACAAAACATTAAAATGTTAGAGATGACTTTGCATTTTTTTATTCCACTTTGGGCCTCATTAGACATAATAGCCTCATTAGTCATAATATGCAGTTTTCTTGTCATCAATTACACTGCTCAACAATGGTTTTGTTTCGAATAATTTTATGCATACAATTTATTCAACTATGAATGATTTTGGAATATTGGGTCTGGTTTTCTTTTTTTCTCAAATTTTTTTATTAGACTACAAAACACAGAATGAAACAGTTAGTATATTTTAAACTATAGTTATAATTCAAAGAAACGCCTTCTATAAGCTTTTCGTCTATAGGTAATTTGGGGACAATCTCTTTTCAAGGACCAACAGTAATCTGCCATCATGTGATGATCCCCTCTACCCTGATACCTTTCTTTCGTCAATTCTAGGTCTTGGTGGAAGCGTTCTTCCTATTCTTTACTGTAATCTCCCAGATTGTCGGGAAATCTATCCAGGTGACTGTGTAGAAAGTGTAGCTTTATGCTCATATTTCCACCGAAATTGTTGAAGCTTTCTAACATCTGTTGCACAATTTCTATATAATTTTGTGCTTTATAGTTACCTAAAAAGTTTTTTACTATTAACACAAAATCTCTCCTTGCTTCACGTTCAGCATCAGTCATAAATTTTGTGAAATTTTTGTCTCTTATCAATGTTCGTATTTGAGGACCGTCGAATATTCCAGCTTTGAACTTTTTCATACTTTAGCTTAGGAAATGTTTTACAAATATATTTAAAACCTCCTTCCTAGTCCAATGCTTTGACAAACTGTCTCATCATATCCAACTTAATTTATAGTGGCTGGAGTATGATTTTTTCGCTACTTAACAGTTGCTCATTTATTACATTGGATTTACCAACAGTTAAGGATTCTCTCAAAGGCCAAACATTTTGTTCCCAGTGAACTTGCTTTGCTCTGCTGTTCCATAAACTAATAAAGCAAAGGTATTTGGTGTATCCACTTTGCTGACCAAGTAAAAAGTTCCAAGTTATCTTCAAATCTACACAAACCGGTCATTAATGGTCATAGTAATATTTTTTTGCAGAACCAATTTAAAATTTATGTTAAACCAAATAAAAAAAAGGTAGAGCCAATGAAATATATATTTTTTTAATATATTCGCATTCGGGAATAAAAAA